CTCCTCCTCCTTCTCCTCCTCCTCCTCCTCGTCCACCCGCTCATTTCGGTCACTGTTGCCGTCCCCGCCCTGGTTCTTTGCGGCGCTCAACGATTTCTTCTTCACTTTCTTCTTCTTTCTGCTATTCTTCTTCTTCTTGTCGCCACTATCTTTGCCTTTGTTACCGTCCCTGACGGAGGCGCCCTCGAGCCCGTCTTCCAACTCCCGCTCTCGTTCGTCGGCCAGAGGGGCTGCTGCGGCAGGCGGCGGCGGCGGCGGCGGCGGCGGCCGCGCTTGCACCGCTGTCTGCGAGCGCAGCCTGAGGACATCGACCGGGCTGCCGACGATCCCAGCTTCGTACAGCTCGAGCAGTCTAACCGCCCATCGACGAACGGCGATTGAGACACACGCGGTACAGTATTCATTTCAGCGTTTGGGGTTTCAGCTGCGGATGTTGGTGACCGCGGTTGGTGTCCACGTCGGAGGGAGATGATGGTGGTGGCGGCAGTGGCGGCGGATTATAGGTGTTCCAATACTTACAGGTGGAAGATTTGGGAGGGAGCTGGTGGTCGGGGTGCGTTGACTCTGGTGCTGCTTCTTCTTGCATTGACGAAAACGAGGCCATATACATGCACGGCAACGCACGGATCGAACACACGCAATACACAACTCCAAACAAACTGTTCCGGTTACCAAGGAAGCTCCTACTCCTACTGTACGCGTGCAACGCCGTACTGCCTCGATGACGATGGCAAACGCACAATAGACATGCACACGAGGTACCGGAATTACATGCGGGCAGGCACAGCCATCGTCATACTATACCATACCATACCCATCGCTGGTCTGACAAAACGCAATCACGACAAGCTCGCATGAAATGTCGGCATGTTATTTCTTCTTTTCCGTCGCGGTTGTGTCATCCCCTAGGGTACATACACACAGACAGCACGCACGTTGTTTAATCTATGTCCTACATCGCAAGGTATACGTGTTCAGTCTATGTCCTACATCGCACGGTATACGTGGTCAATCTACGTCCCACATCGCAAGGTATTATCTAGCATGTCCTACATCGCAAGGTAATACGTGGTCAATCTGCGTCCCACGTCACAAGGTAGTCATCCACCTACCATACCTTGCCGGGCCTAGCCCCTGAATGTCGAACGCTCCCTTGGAAACGAAGTGCTTCAGCCGCTCCACCGCCTGGGCTGGGCAGCTCAGGCCCGCCGGACAGCGGGTTACGGCCTTGTCCTGGTGGGGCGAGGCCGAATAGTGCAGGAGGGT